ATTATTTGTTTTATTTTTACATTTCCCTAGATACTTTCTGACCAGTTTATCAGGGTGATTATTAGGTTTCAACGCTTCTCCTATACGCCCCACTTCTTGCCTTAGATTTTTCTTGGCACTACATAGTTTTTGTGGTCTATTGTCACTTAAACATTTCACTTATCCTATTTTCACTGACATAGGATGGGATGATCGGAAATCGAAGCATCTGTTTGTATGTGTGGGTTTCCAGTAAAACCCATCAGTGTGTTTAACTTCCCATCTTTTCTTTTAACGCTACAATCTGACATTAGAAACTCTTCTTGATACTAATATGATTATGAAGCACAATACATTTTGTTCGAAACCTTGTCATCCAGTGTGTAATAATACTGTTTCACTGTGTGATCCATCTAATAAACAAACTAATATGGAGCTCCTTTCCTATACGTTTTTCATTGAAATGTTCTTTTATTTTATTGTATTCTATTTTACCACTTGAATTCATTTTGTTTTTGATTACAGCTTGATTCCACACTGTATTTTTGGTACAAGTATGGAATTTTTAGCATGGATATCGGTAGCCCAAATTTTGAAGGCCGACCATAGATATCAGGTGTGCTTCGTCGGCAGGGGATCGAACCTCGGAATATGTGCATGGTCGGCGAGAGTCCTAACCATTGTGCCACCACTTCACTTCATGTATTTACTCCTTCTTTATTATGCGTTGGTGGCACAGTGGTAAGGGCTCTCGCCGACCATGCACATGGTCCGAGGTTCGATCTCCTGCCGACGAAGCACACCTGATATCTTTGGTCGGCCTGCAAAATTTGGCCTACCGATATCCATGCTGAAAATTCCATACTTGTACCAAAAATACGGTGTGGAATCAAGCTGTAATCAAAAATAAAAAAAAATAAATCGTCATCGTACTGTTAATTTTTTTAGACAACACTTGGATTACTATTTTTAAAAGCTTATCACCAGTTCATTTGTTTATTCAATAATCTTTGGAAGTTTTGTAATTCACCCGTTTCAATTCTACCCCACCCCTTAAATACATCATTTTAATTATCTTTATTCTTGCCATAGTTACCGTATTGGCTAAGCAACTTCTAATGCCACTATATATAATAGAGAAGATTTGTAGCTCAGGTGGATGATTTTGATGTGGTTTTGTTCTCTGAGCTGGATGGTTAGTTTGCGAAGCTGAAGATGTCACCCAGTAGGGTGATGAAAGCTTCGCAAACTAACCAACCAGCTCAGAGAACAAAACCACATCAAAATGCCACTTATTAATTATAATAGAGGTTTTTTGTATTTCCCAATGAATGAAAAAACAAAACGAGATTGTTTTTGTTAAAACAATCTCGTTTTGTTTTTTCATTCATTGGGAAATACAAAAAACCTCTATATAATGAATATCATATACCCAATGCCCAAATTTTTCAAACCGTTAAAAGTGAACTTGGTTTGGATATATATAACCACTTATTAATGTCTTATTTTTCCGTAATGTAAATACGACTGCTGTACAGCTGCTTGAAAATCAAGTCGTTCACTGAATAACAAAAACACTGTATTTTTTCATATGAATCAATGGGAATATTCAAGATTATCTTAGTGCTCCTCCTGCACGAGGCAAGTGATGCGTCAGATTAAGAGTTTTACAAGGACTAGCGTCTACCCACACCTTCACAGTGAATACTAGTTCATAACTAACCGAATTATCCTTACAGCACATGATATTATGGCATACTCTCATTCACCTTTTACTCCACGACATACATGATATTCTCTGGAAACTCGTAGTCTTTCTTTTTGTAAAGTTATTAACCATATAGCAAATGTTATGCTAATTGTAGAGATAGATAAAACAACAGAGAAAGGCATAATTTTAACGCATAAATTTATACTTATATATACACAGTTTCGAATGGCTGTAGGGGTTGCCGACAATTCACTTTACTCTTCAATAAACCATCACGATAGTGTTTGTAGAAGATTTTGAGGTAAAAGTATATCGCAACCCCCGTCGTCAATTGTATATTTTCTTCTTTAAGATATAGCAGTACTTTGCTTTACTGACTTCTGATAAATTTAGGCATCATTTCAAGTGGTCTTCATGTAAATTTATTATTCTGTGAAGTGAATTACAGTTTTATGGAGTACATTAATCCTTGTACATTTCTAAGAAGTACTTACTTATCTGTAAGGCATTTCCACTAAATTTACTTTTATCTCTCTACACAGCATTAAATGTTGTCCTGTATGTTGCGTGATGTGTAAAGTTTTATGAAAAAAAAAAACTATGAAGCGGTCATAGGGTAAGAGTGTTATGGCATTTTAAAATGCTTAATATAACATTCAAAATTTAATGCACTAACCCACTAATGTTTGAACCCAGGTGGGTGCGTATTGCCAAAGAGTGTCACACTAGGGTGACAAAATGGCTAGCTGTCCAGCACTCCTAAGGTTTGCGAATGGTTATTTATCTGATGTCAGTTTATGATGAAGTACTGTAACCAATCACACCGTATCCCTGCAAACAAACGCTTGGAAACATGTACAATTCGACAGTTGGATTAAGACTTTTAAGACTCTTAATATCAATAAAGACCCTGTCAAAGATAGAAAACTGGGAAAACCAATAGTGGTTAACTCCAAAATTATCCAATTCCAGCCATATGATTGTCTAAATTACAAGTTCAACTCAACGAAAATATCTTGTAAATCCTGGCTATCGTCTCCTACCTTTCCCATATAACTACATTTTGACGTCTAAAAGTATAAGTAACTTGAAGAAAAAATTAGTTTCTACTTTGTGTGCAGTCAGAAAGTTGGAAGTTTTATCGATATTTCAGCGATGGAAAGCTCGCCAGTCATGCCACAAGAGGTTTAGGTTCAGTTCCTGAAAGATGCATTCCTACACCTTTCGTAGCCTACTAGCTGGCTAGTAGTAATCCCTGAAAACAGGATAGGTTGGGCATGAGACTAACAACTCGTGCGTTGGTGGCACAGTGGTTAGGACTTTCGCCGACCATGCACATGGTCCGGGGTTCGAGCCCTCGCCGACGCACACCTGATATCTACGGTCGGCCTGCGAATTTTGGGCTACCGATATCCATGCTGAAAATTCCATACTTGTACCAAAAATACAGTGTGGAATCAAGCTGTAATCAAAAATAAAATAAAAAATAAACTCCATGGCATAAAAACAAACGCCGCCATTAAAGAAACTTCAAACACTGGAGCCGTAGATTCCTCTTGGAATGCAAAGAGCGAAAAGCAAACAACAGTGGCACATCTCCAGAAAAATGAACAGTTATACGACTTTGAATCTGGATAAAGTCTCTTAGTACTTTACTTTCAAATAACTATTGTCTTCCAAATAAACCGAACCAGTTTATTTAGCTGTCTTTCGTCTTCCACATTTTTTTTTCAGCCGAAATCTTGTTTGTGATAAAGTTCATCTCAAAATCGGTGAAATCCTCACATAACCGATAGTTAAATTTAACGTGCGAAGATCTTTTCACTTGTTCCACCTATTTACAATCTTTCCATTATTATACTATCAATCGAATTATACATTTATCCAAGTATTAGTCTGCAAGGATTCGATTTGATTGGCTACAGGATTTCACCATAAGCTAATATCGTTTATAGAACCATTGGAAAACCAGTAGTGGAATACTGGACAGCTGTTTCGTCCTAGTTCGGGAGTCTTCGGCAGTGCATAACCATCAATAGAGTTCGAAACCATGACCTTCTGGCTACGAAGCGATTTATATAAATATGTGTTTACATGAGTAAAGTTTTGTAAATTTACCTTTTACATATTTGATGTCTGTATAGCTAACTTTAAACACCCAATAAACGATGAGTACTAGACCGTCAAGGTTATCTACTTACTACTTGTTTACTAGTCCACATAATCTAAGGTCAAAACACTTCAGGGTGTAGATGTTTTTGAATAACCGTAGTCAATCAGTGTGTGTGTGTGTCGGTGGCACAGCGGTAGAATGCTTACCAACCACTCATGTGGCTCGAGGATCAACTCCCTACCGACGAACTCCTTCACTTCATTAAGTCAGTAATGGAAGGTTAATGAGGCTAGAAACCCCACCCGTAAAAGTCAAAACCACTGCTACCGAAACTTCAAGCCTATCGGCTAAATCACTATGTTCTCCTGGGAACGTAAAGGAATATAATCAGTCAGAAGTGACCCACTTTTAAGATTGCATTCCTTTGTAAATCCTTCACAATATTTGGGTTATCAGTGAAGTTAAAAATCTGGGTTATAAAATTCCAAAAAGAAATTCAAGCTATCAGCTGAACGATCTACCATGCTAAAATACTATTTGAAGAGGTTAGTCTATCCGCATCAAAACATTCACTAAGGTTTGTAGTGTTAGATCTCTTAAGAATGGACGTTATCTACCTTTCCTAACATTAGTATAGCTACATGATGTTGTTTCAGATAATTTCAAAAAAGGGTGTTTAATGTGTGAGCAAATTCATTAAGGGAAACTTTTCAAATGTACAATTAATTTCCATTGTGGTCTGTAATAATTTCTAAACTAAAGGCTATTTAATAAAACTAATATTGATTCTCAGTAGCTTAATGGTCAATGGGTTCATTGGCGTTGTAACCATAAGGTCCTAGATTCAAACTCTTAGTAGTGGATACGTACTGGTGAAGAGTCCCAAACTAGGACGGCAGAAACAGCTGTCCAGTACTCCAGTGCCGGTTTTCCAATGCCTCTCTAACTGATGTCAGCTCATGATAAAATCCTCCAACTAATATCTGACCAGCATTTAAATTGTCTGTTCATATACACAGTTATTAATTGAATTACATTGAATATAGACAGGCACTAGACAAACATTTGAAAAATACTGCAGTATAATACTATTCAGGCTCTTAAACTGAGACTTATGTATATTATTGATTTGTCATAAATTACAATTATATCAAACTGTTATGCTATTTATAAATAATAATAATAATGGCTACTTACCAGTGATTTCACTTTGATAGGTTTTGATTGAACCCCTCCGGAAGGTATACGTCTACGAACTTGTTGATCGAATCCTTGATTGGCAGTTGCAGGTGGCAGTGAGTTTTGTGAATATGGCTGACTGTTTTGAACTGGTTGGTGTGTTGTTGTTGGTTGTGTTGCTGTTGTTGATACTGCTGGTACTGTTGATTTTGTCTGTTATCAATCACTTGACTACTGGGTTGTGCACTCCAGGTAGACTGTACTACTTGTGTTGATCTATTGTCAGCTTGATTATAATTCGTTTGAGATGAATAAGCTGCTTGTGGTTGTGGTTGTTGGGGTTGGTGTTTTTGTTGATTTTGATAATAAACTTGTTGATTTTGTGCTTGAAAAGATGGAGGGTTTGTAGGTGATATAGTGTTTGGCACGTGTTGAAATCTAGGTGGTTGATTAAAATTTGGTTGACTTGTTTGGTTCACTTGATGACTGGGCTGAATTGTGATTGGTTGAACTGTTGAAGCCACCTGATTGGTTGGTTGGTAGGCTACTGCACCTGTACCCGTTTGTGGTGTATATTGTGCTGGAGTTGGATAGGTATTTCCTGAAGGAGCGTATGACTGACTGGCTGATCGTGCATATACCACCTGACTTTGTGGTTGGTGCTGTTGTTGTTGTTGTGACTGCGGTTGGTATGGCTGCTGCGGTGATTGCTGATGTTGATTTTGCGTTGACTGGCCGTAATAAACGACATTCGGCTGAGCAGAATAAGCTGGTTGAGCGTTAATCTGACCAACAGAGGGAGCATAAGCTTGTCCCATATTTGTAGTTTGTAAAGGAGTTGTAAGAACCTTATACTGTTGTGTTTGTTGAGGTTGATTCCATCCTTGTTGCTGAAATTGTGGTCGTGGTTGTGTCTGCTGAATTTGTGCTGGTTGACTTGAACCAACCGTAAAAACTTGTGGTTGAACATAATTTTGAAAACCTGTTCGATTAAAACTGTCACTTGCTTGATCATTTCCCACTGGATAGGCTGCATAAGACGATGGCTGAGGTTGACCTTGTTGAGTTGAATAATTGTAAGCATTCATCTGTGCATTCTGTGGAGATACAGGCGATGCATATCCAGATTGTCCTGGTTGTACAAGATTAACTTGAGCTCTCGAAAGATTGACAACTTTAGTTGATGTAGCTACATTACCGCTATGAGGACTTATTTGCTGTGGTAGCTGATAAGCCATACCGACTTCTGGTGAAGCCATATGTAGTTACACCAAACTTTTGATGTAAGCCAAAAAAAAGTGCCAACTGTGTGTGTAAACAGTCGAAAGCACCACAGAGACAAGCTATGTCCTCAGAACAGTGAAACAGCTAAAAGATGTCTACCATGAAAAATTTTCGCGTTATTTTTAAACTTGATATTTCTTTCAGTTGTTTGTTTCATGAAAAGTGATTGGTTGTTACAATGATGCCCAAGAGTTAGTAGACCTATGAATTTTGTTTCAGAATTACAAAACCCACGCACTTTTGTTGAAGGAATAGATTATGGGTGTTTTAAAAGACACTGTGTGTGTATGCATGTGTGTGTGTGTGCGTGTGTTTGTGCAACTTACCACTGCACTGCTGTTAAAGAAAAAGAAAGTCATTCATCAATTCAACCAAAAAATGTACAAAGAATCAATTGAAAAGTAACTTAACAAATAGAGGTTTTTATGCGCATAGACCTGGTCAATTTTCTACACGATGTCAATGTAACATTTTTGCTGTTTTTTTTTTAAAAAAAAGGGCGTGGGTGCATCATATGACATAAGTTTCAGTAGAGGAAAATACTGAAATTTCTGATAACAATACTAAACATTTTGACAACTCGAATGACTGTAGGATAAGTTTAATTGACCTGATAAAAATTTCTCTCTATATTCTGTTACTATGATAGATTATGTACTACTATTGGGTTGTTATTATTATTATTGTTGTTTCCTTTAATTCATAGAGGAACATAGGGCTTCAGCTGCAGGTCTCCATTAAGTTCGGTTCTCTGCTAAAGTTTTCAACTGACTCCAGGCCTGCCCACCTGCTTTCATCTCCTCTTCACATCATCTCCTCCAAGTCACCCTCGTATTCATGACCAACTCGCCGCTTCACTTTTTTGGTTCCACTCGAGCAATGGCTTGTCTAGTCATGTCACTTGCTGGTTTCCTCAGAGTATGGCCAGCCAATCCACCTCCATTTCTTCCTGCTTATTTGTTGCACAATCAGTTCCTGCTGCGTTGGTTCCCTCTCAGAGTTCCCTGTTGCTGATCTCTTCTAGCCGGCCATCTGATCTTGAGTATTGAGCGAAGACAACTGTTAATGAAGGTCTGAAGTTTGTTTGAGTTGCTCTTTATGACTCGCCAAGTCTCTGATCCGTATAGTGAGTAGCACTGACTTCACATTGGAGTTGAAAATCCGGATCTTATTTTTGTTGCTGAGAAGTGCTGTTGACCTCTACACAGACTTAAGAGTAGTGAAAGCTTGTCTTACGTTTCCGATTCTTTCTTTGCTATACTTGTCAGTTCCCAGGTAAGTAAAGGAGGTTGTGTCTTTCGGGTTCCTCCCATTTATGGTGATTGTTGTCTGTTGCTGTGGTTGTTTTTGCTGTTCGTGTTGCCCAGGAATCTCCATCTCCTCTGTTTTCTTTATGTTTACTTGGAATCCTATTTTTAATGCTTCTTCTGCCAATGTGGTGCTTTTCACTTGCATATCTTCCAGTTTGTGGGAAATCGGCGAAGTCCAGATGCTCCAAGCTGTTTTTTGTGTCAGTCCATTTTATGCCTGTTTCCTCGCTGCCCGCCGCTGTCTGTCGCAATATCCAGTCTACCGGAATCGGGAAAATCATTGGAGATAGTAGGCAGCTAGCCAGCTTGTCTTACCCGCGTCTTCACTTCGAAGGCTTCTGTAAGTTTCCCGTTGTGGATTGCTTGTCATGCAGCATTGCCGTACAAGTGTTGGATGAGATGTGTAATTGTCGATAGGGCCCCGTAGTAGCGAAGTAGTTGCCAAATGACCTCTCGATCGACGCTGCGCCGTCGAAGGCCTTTTCAAAGTCGATGAAGTTGAGTGAGGTGGAGAGGTGATTGCCATTCCAAGCTTTGTTCAATGATGATCCGTAGAGTGGCAATTCCATCAACATATGACTTGTTCCTCCTGAATCCAGCCTGTTCTGGTCGAAGATTTTCATCCAGGGCTTGATGGATTCTCTCCAAGATGACGTGGCTTAGTATTTGCTTGGGATGGACAGGAGCATAATTCCACGCCAGTTCTTGCATTGACTTAAATCTCCTTTCTTTGGCAGTTTCAGTTATATTAGTAGCTAAACATTATTCAGTTCCAAAAAGGTTCCTAGTGAGCCATTTCCTCAGAAATATCGAGGATATGTGAAGGCCAGCCTTTACAAATACATCTAAAGTTCCCTTTTCAAACATTTCGACAAAAGTATGAGATAAAATTCAACTGAAACATGTAGTGAATTTGAACACCACAGATGAGATATTCGAATCATGCACGTCCATATCGAATATGTAGTATTTGTTGAATCAGTCATGTTCTATGAAGAAGTGCTTATAAATTTATTTGTGAAGCTTTCGTCATCCCTCATTTGAGACACCATCACTTCAACGCAGATTTCAATATGAAATAAACTAATTTGAATTCGTCATGATTGATGACGATATAATTGTATCTCCTGATAACCGCTGTCGTGAATGGTTGTTGATATACCTCCACATTGATCATTTTGATTCACTCAAAATTCGAACTCACTTGTCATCCGACTCACTTTGTATTAGCCTAGTAAATTTGGTCTCCATAGTAATGGGTGTTTGTTAATCGATGGCTGATTCACTCGAGCTTCAGGCTTCTAGAAACACCCTGACTGCAGGTTTAGTGTTTGCAACTGCGATTACAATTTCCACATTATCCCAGTCAAATTGGTGTCTGCATGCACTGATCTACATGCATTGATTTGAAAGAGTATATGTAGTGCTTTTTCACAGGTAATTTGTCTTCTTGGATTCTGAGTTGATGTGTGAGCCCATTGTCACCTATGTAATGTCTGTTACAGATATTGATTTGTCTTCTTCTCCTGTTGGATTTTTCAGTCTGCACAATATCGAATGAAGTGTGATTGTGTTGGTTGGCTAACTGGCTGGCTGGCTGGCTGACTGGTTTGTTTGGTTTATAGATTTCAAGTGGTCTTAATATTCTAGGTGTTATTTCAGAGGTATTCTTCATGTATCTGTTAAAGTGAATATTCTGGTGGTCTTTCAGGATGGTTCTTGTTGATATAACTGCTTGATGTTAAACAACTTTTTATGAAATTGTGAAGATATTCATTCTTTTTGGAGAGAGTTATTAGGTATTTCTCTTCCATCCGCTTCAGTAAAAAGAGTGCTGCAGTGTGTTTGGACTGTTAAGTTGAATATTATCTGCACACCGATTCTTCAGTGAGTAATTAGTTTATGACTATTATCATTGATTATTTGCTGTGTGTGATTTGAATTTCTGTATACTTGTGTTTTTTAATAGTATCATCATCACAAAGAAACCATCCTGGAAGACCACAAGAATATTCACCAAGCAGCCTTATCTCGCCCCATTATTGGTTGGTAATAACCATAATTACTGGTTGTCTACCCTCACCCTACCTAAAGTGTTTTATGGATAGAAATTTTCAGGATATTTACAAACTTCCCAGGCACAGTGGTTAGGACACTCGTCGACCATGCACATGGTCCAGGGTTCGAACCCTTACCCACGCACACCTGATATAATAATATAGTAATAATAATAATTTATACTTTCATATAAACATATAAGTTTGCATGGAAATGCATGCTATTTTTACAGGCACTATCAAGTATGATATAATCTCAAATCGTAGATTGTCTACAAGTTTATAATGTTTCAATAGTTGAATACTTGATATATATATATAATTACACTCATTGTCTGAACCAGGCCGTATAGTTATTGAATTGTACAGTTGTCCTCCAGGTTGCGTGGTAAAATCGACTTCGTTTCGTTTTCATCCCGTGGTTGTAGGCATACGATAACCAACCAATATCGAGGTAAGTACAACGTTTACAAGGGATTGGAAGCTGTTTTAGAAAAGTTAAAGTGCTAAGGTGAAACATTAAAGTGTAATAGAATAAGTGAGTGCAATATATCATTAATAAACACATTTATATAGAAAACAGAATGGGGAAGTAATTAATCCCTAGGCTGACAACGTTCATTTGCAATGTATAATGCTACCCATATATGTCTTACTATCATGATGTCCACTTTTGGCCTTAATATAATTATCTTCAAGCCGGTTGTTTTTATTTCATACCTTCTTGTCTATCTGCTGCGCAACCGTACCCTACAGAGAATAGGAATAGAATGAGTCGAATCAAATTCATAAAGAGCTATAAAATGTTAGGTTTAATGGAATATAATGAGGATCAAGTAAAGACGTTATTAGAAAAATGAATGAGATAAGACATTGTGAAGTGGTATTTAAAGATCCGACAATGGATAGCAAGTTAATTTATAAGATGCCCCATAAATCTGTGCAGAGCCCACGTGGTCGCATCTCAACAATAGGCTGAGGGAATGGTATATGTTTAAAGGTAGAAGCATGATCTGTCTAGTCGTTGATTGTTATCTTTTTCAAGATAAAGATCTAAGCCCTCATAAAAGTCAGAAAAATCTCGAGCCGTCAAATTGCATATTGCTGTTCCTGCAGAATGTGGCGATTCACCTTAGAACTTTCAGGATATTTACACACTTCTTAGGTACATTTCTCTCTGTAACATGCATTTTCAGAGAAAACTTCACTCCAACAAATCGAGGGCATATCTAATATTAAGAAACACTTGATTTTGTTTCAGCAACTAGCGAAGACTGAACACATAATTGATACATCCACAGAGAGAACAGAACCCAGCTTACCCTTCATGAATCATCTCCTCAAATTGTTTTACACAGCCTATTGTCAGGCAAAACAGTAGCCAGTATTTCAATTATGACCGGTAGCAGATAAATACCCTTATAATTGTCGAATGTATTACGTTGATTGTCTTCAATGATGGGCATGATGATGGCTTTATTTCACAAGGGTTCTATGAGAGTTAATCTTACACTGTCGTTTCATTCTTCTTATAAATATGAGAATTCATGAATTAGGGATTAAAAAAGAATATTTGTTGTCGTTACAATAAAGGCCAGTTATGCGCCG